CCAGAATGATTTTGTCTCAGACACAATGGAAAGTAATTTAAAAGGTTTTGCCCATACTTCGTCCATTTTATGAGATAACAAATGAAATTTCTGGCGAAACGAACGTTACTCTTTCAAAAGATATCGTTTTAGTTAACCTTCTCCAAAAATGTCTAATTTGGATGTTAAAAACGAAAACTTGATTCCTGTAGTATATAGACTGCAAAAAGAGCTGACCTAAAGATTCTCAGCGCTAGAAAAAAAACCATATATATGCTGAGAGCACAATCTTGGACCCTAGATTCAAAGGACGCTATTTCAAGTCGTCTGATGAATACCTAAGTGCAGTTTCTTAACTAAAGCAGAAGGTATCACTTATTCAAATGGGCGAAAGTGAAACTGGACTGCTAACTTCTACAGAATCAACTTTAAAAGGCGTCGAAACAAGCGAAAGAAGTATTTGGTATGATTTTGACAGCAGTTTTACCCCAACGAGTCGTCCAACAAATAATTTAACGGCAGCACATCGTGAAGTGGATAAATACTTAGAGGAAGAATACGGAGGATCCTACAGTTTGGTGGGAGCAACGCAAAAACATTTATCCGCGACTATATAAATTTTCACAGAAGCGCCTTTGCTTAGTCAGAACCTAGAAAACTAGGTCAGAACCAACGAAAAAAAAAGAACGAACGAACTTATTCCCTAAAAAAACGATGATTACCCATGTGTACTCATGTGTATGTACTCTGGAACCTCCCCTTTGTTAAGTAGTTGTCACTAAGGCGTTTGTCTCAACAAACAGTCCACTACAGTTTTATTTATCAAAGAATTATAATTATAGCAAATTTTCTAATATTGAAGAAATGAAATTGATAAATTTAATAGAAAAACAAAAATGCACATATACATATACATATACAGTCCGTTAAAAATTGTAATCGATGGAAAAATTTAAATTTAAATCAAATTTATTAAAAAAAATTCCATCCAAAAAACATTAAACTTACACTGTCGGGTCTGGCAGCAGCACGGCGTTTATTGTTAATTTTTACATAATTTAAATGTAATGTTTAGTGTAATGTTTATTCATTTCATTTGCATGCAGAAATAAACATATTTATAACGTTTAAAATGAAACAGAATTTGCCTTTTTTATTTAGGGCATTGAAAAATCTCAATGACCAAACATACACATTTTTTGTGGCCCTTTTCAGAATGTTCAAGCATTGAATACGACAAAAATTGCAAAGATAGAGTTTCAAGGGACCGGACCGAAGGAAATACGAGATTAACAGCATGGTTTAAAACCAGTCCCCTGCAGCCTAAGCGAATACATAAGTGGTGCGCTTGTCGCACTTAAGAAAGGGTCGCATAGCATGTCAGAATGCAGTGCGTTTTAAAAGGACTTAAGATTTTCATGTATTTTTTTTATAGAGAGTAGTAAAAAATAAAAACAGTTTCAAAACGGAACTCATTGGAGTAACACCTAAGTTATTGGGGCTTCTCTTAGCACGGGTATACAAGCCACCATTGTAATGGTGAGAAGAAATGTTTCCGATGTAGGGGAAAGCATCCCAAGGAGGAGCATTGAAGCAAAAGATAATGCGCCAACTGCGGTAATAACCACATTGCAACAAGCAAGGAATGTTAGTCCGGCCAGGACAAAAGCCTACGAAATTCGAAAAATTAAAATTTTAGAAAACCTGTCTGTACGGGAAATAAAAGAAAAACTCCCCTCGCTATTCAGAAAGCCATGCTCGAAGATCGTGCTTTCTTCCCGGTTCCCTAAACTCCCACACGAAGACAAATAGAAACAATCATTCGTCATATGCACCACCTTCAATCTCAGGCTATAGACTGGCACAAGATACGGGGAAAAAACTGTCCTAAGGAAAAAACTGCCATTACGACCCCGACTCTAGAACCAACATTATACCCTTTATCATAGACTTGAGGGATTTTATTAATTAAAAAAACGCAGGGACGGTCGTGTCACAAATACAATCCCTAAATAACCAATCTACACAAAAACAACAAACACATACTACAATAAAATATCCAAAGCATAAATAACGCAAATAATTAACACCTTCTCAACATGCATTTAATAAACAACGACGTCGATATTGCAATCCTATCTGAGACTTGAAGTATTTTTGAAGACAGATGGTTGGACATCCCGGACAAACGAAAGCTACCTAGCAGTAACTGTGTACTTTATCGACAACAAGTCTGTCAGCATAGCCCCGCATATGATTTCTTGCGAGGCTTTTGATCAGCATCACACAGCAAACAATTTATCTGAATACATCAAGAAAATTGCTTCCCAATGGCAAATTCAAAATAAAATAGCTGCTATTGCATCAGACAATGCTGAAAATTTGATTTTTCAGAAAGGACTAACCGAAATAGAAGACGTGCATACCAAATCAAAGGCGATCGTGGAGTTTTTTAACCGCAGCTCAATTGGGTTAAAAAAACTTAAGGACGTAGTCTCATGTTCCGGCCTTCTTTTTAGAGGTTATTTCAAAAAAAATTTTTTTGTAATAAAAAATATTGCGATCGTTCCAATTTTCACATATGTTTTTAAAGGCATCATAAACTATTTGAAAATATTTTGTTTCATTTATTCTTGTGTAGTTTAATACAATTTATAGCATGCCAAAGTATGCATATAAAAAAAAAAGGTAGGTCCCTGGCGCAGGTGATTTCGACTGCTAGAGTCATCCGAAACAAAAATTAGAATAGATTGTTGTTTTGTAAGCTTATGGCTCTGTCCCGTACTAGAATGAAATATTTTCATTAATAAACAACAAAATGGCGAACTCACAAAAAAAATTTTTTTAATATGTAAAAATTTATCTTAAATTAATGATAAAAAAAAACTATTCATTAAAAATAAATGATTCTAGTACGGGACAGAGGTGTTACTTTTTAGAACAACATATCCAAATTTCAGCTAGATCGGTACCATAGAATTTTGTGAATCACCTGCGCCGCACACAAAAATTTAGTTCCGAGAAAAACGCGTTTAAAGTTTAGACGCTACCGAGAAACTCATACTTTTCGGTGTAGGCGCGCTCTCGATTATGGGCTGTATCTCTGTCATTATTTGATATTTTTATTTGAAACTTTAACAGTACACTCTTAATAAACAATACTATCGAAATATGTGAAAAAAAAATCAATTTTTTCAACCTCACACATGAGACTACATCCTTAAGGCAACACAAGCTCAAAGGAATCTACCAGAGCTAAAGTTAAAACAGGATGTGTCAACGCGTTGGAACTCCACATATCAAATGCTGGAAAGGCTAGTAAAGCTAAAGAAGCTGTAATAGTTGCAGTTTTAATTTTACGCCCAGAATGATTTTGTCTCAGACACAATGGAAAGTAATTTAAAAGGTTTTGCCCATACTTCGTCCATTTTATGAGATAACAAATGAAATTTCTGGCGAAACGAACGTTACTCTTTCAAAAGATATCGTTTTAGTTAACCTTCTCCAAAAATGTCTAATTTGGATGTTAAAAACGAAAACTTGATTCCTGTAGTATATAGACTGCAAAAAGAGCTGACCTAAAGATTCTCAGCGCTAGAAAAAAACCATATATATGCTGAGAGCACAATCTTGGACCCTAGATTCAAAGGACGCTATTTCAAGTCGTCTGATGAATACCTAAGTGCAGTTTCTTAACTAAAGCAGAAGGTATCACTTATTCAAATGGGCGAAAGTGAAACTGGACTGCTAACTTCTACAGAATCAACTTTAAAAGGCGTCGAAACAAGCGAAAGAAGTATTTGGTATGATTTTGACAGCAGTTTTACCCCAACGAGTCGTCCAACAAATAATTTAACGGCAGCACATCGTGAAGTGGATAAATACTTAGAGGAAGAATACGGAGGATCCTACAGTTTGGTGGGAGCAACGCAAAAACATTTATCCGCGACTATATAAATTTTCACAGAAGCGCCTTTGCTTAGTCAGAACCTAGAAAACTAGGTCAGAACCAACGAAAAAAAAAAAGAACGAACGAACTTATTCCCTAAAAAAACGATGATTACCCATGTGTACTCATGTGTATGTACTCTGGAACCTCCCCTTTGTTAAGTAGTTGTCACTAAGGCGTTTGTCTCAACAAACAGTCCACTACAGTTTTATTTATCAAAGAATTATAATTATAGCAAATTTTCTAATATTGAAGAAATGAAATTGATAAATTTAATAGAAAAACAAAAATGCACATATACATATACATATACAGTCCGTTAAAAATTGTAATCGATGGAAAAATTTAAATTTAAATCAAATTTATTAAAAAAATTCCATCCAAAAACATTAAACTTACACTGTCGGGTCTGGCAGCAGCACGGCGTTTATTGTTAATTTTTACATAATTTAAATGTAATGTTTAGTGTAATGTTTATTCATTTCATTTGCATGCAGAAATAAACATATTTATAACGTTTAAAATGAAACAGAATTTGCCTTTTTTATTTAGGGCATTGAAAAATCTCAATGACCAAACATACACATTTTTTGTGGCCCTTTTCAGAATGTTCAAGCATTGAATACGACAAAAATTGCAAAGATAGAGTTTCAAGGGACCGGACCGAAGGAAATACGAGATTAACAGCATGGTTTAAAACCAGTCCCCTGCAGCCTAAGCGAATACATAAGTGGTGCGCTTGTCGCACTTAAGAAAGGGTCGCATAGCATGTCAGAATGCAGTGCGTTTTAAAAGGACTTAAGATTTTCATGTATTTTTTTTATAGAGAGTAGTAAAAATAAAAACAGTTTCAAAACGGAACTCATTGGAGTAACACCTAAGTTATTGGGGCTTCTCTTAGCACGGGTATACAAGCCACCATTGTAATGGTGAGAAGAAATGTTTCCGATGTAGGGGAAAGCATCCCAAGGAGGAGCATTGAAGCAAAAGATAATGCGCCAACTGCGGTAATAACCACATTGCAACAAGCAAGGAATGTTAGTCCGGCCAGGACAAAAGCCTACGAAATTCGAAAAATTAAAATTTTAGAAAACCTGTCTGTACGGGAAATAAAAGAAAAACTCCCCTCGCTATTCAGAAAGCCATGCTCGAAGATCGTGCTTTCTTCCCGGTTCCCTAAACTCCCACACGAAGACAAATAGAAACAATCATTCGTCATATGCACCACCTTCAATCTCAGGCTATAGACTGGCACAAGATACGGGGAAAAAACTGTCCTAAGGAAAAAACTGCCATTACGACCCCGACTCTAGAACCAACATTATACCCTTTATCATAGACTTGAGGGATTTTATTAATTAAAAAAACGCAGGGACGGTCGTGTCACAAATACAATCCCTAAATAACCAATCTACACAAAAACAACAAACACATACTACAATAAAATATCCAAAGCATAAATAACGCAAATAATTAACACCTTCTCAACATGCATTTAATAAACAACGACGTCGATATTGCAATCCTATCTGAGACTTGGGTCAAGGACAGCTCTGACTGCAGCATGCTGGGGTTCAAGTTTTACGCAAACAGGAAATGATGGCTATGGGTATGTACTTAAAAAATTTCTTAACCGCCGGCATTGACTTTTCTAGAGCTATTAATTTATGGAGGGGGAGTTTCTGGAACATTACCCATGGGGCAAATTCGAAACCGGGAACTCTTCGAACATGGCGGGACTTAGCGGGAAAAGCGGGTATTCAACACATGGGCCCCAAGGAGTAGAGAATCACTGGGCCGATAACTTCTTCACGTTCGTCGATATTGCCACGGCTGGATTAATGACATCCTTGGGATCTGGTATTTCGGACAAAGTCGATAGTTTCAAGGCTGCAGTCACAACATCTTTGGTATCTGGTATTTCATACATAGTCGATATTTCCAGGGCTACAGTCACGACACCTGTGGTATCTTCGAATATGGCTAGGTGGCAACGCTCTTATACATGTAAACAGAGAATAATTTAAAAATATGCAATATGCAGAAAAAAATAAAAACAGAAATGACGCGAAGGAGGAAAAAAACAAGGAGCAGGACATTTAGACATAAAATATGGTCATCATCATCGAAAAATTTTGTTAGTACTCTTCATGAACGATTTTCAGGTACAAGGTGAGTAGACGCTGCAGCTGTGGCTTACATTTTGAATCTATTATTTATTTTCTTTTTTTCTTCTGTTTTAATATCTAATTCGTGTAAATCTAGGATCCAGGACAACCTCCATTGAAGATAAAATAGACAGGATACATGCGCATTAATATAAATTTCATTTGTGGACGGAGTACAAAAACAAAAGTGGAAGTGCACTGCTTTAAATAGTCGTCGTACCGGCGACCCACTCGTTCTACTTCGTTGTCAGACCTCGATTCATGTGGCGATTGGCTTCCAGGTGATAGTGGCCAATCCACAGGATTGAGCATAGTGAAAAGGTGACCAGTCGAATGAGGCAAATATTGGGACGGGATCCGGATGACAGTCTTTCCCTGAGGGCCCCAATGTGTCGTAGGATACTTAGGCTATGCTCATGGAGAAACGGTAGGTTGAACCGGTTGTGGTGAGCCGATACGGCCGGTTTCTTTATTGCGCTTCCCAGCTGATTTACGAACCAGGTTCCGTTGAGCGCTACCTTGTCAGAGTACGTTAACAAGTAGGTTCCGGAACTTTTTTGTTCCCGGCCTTGGTCGTCGGTCACCGTAAAGTTGGCATCGTTGATGCCGAGGGTGTCGTGATCCACAATAGTGACTGGATCTAGGTGACCCGAGAGCGTGGAGCAGTGCACGATGGTTCCATAAACTAAATATATAACTGATAAAATTAAATAAAAATAAAATTTTTTTAAAAAACCAACAATTATAAAACTTGATGTGACTAAAAATCCGTGATTGTGTCGCTTAAATTCTCAACATAGCAGCCGCAGTAGACGGGGCTGTTTTTATACCCTTGCAGAGGGTATTATAATTTTGGTCAAAAGTGTGCAACGCAGTGAAGGAGACATCCCCGACCCTATAAAATATATAAATTATTGATCAGGATCACCCCTTCCGTCTGTCCGTCGGTCCGTCTGTCTGTCTGTCTGTTTCTTTTTCTCAGTTTTAAAGCTATCGACTTGAAACTTTGCACACACCCTTCTTTCCTTTGCACGCAGTATATAAGTCGGAACGGCCCGGATCGGCCGATTATATCCTATAGCTGCCATATAACTGATTGATCGGAAATGGTGTAACTTTGGTGTTTTAGAGAATTAAAATTTTACGAAAATAATACGACGTGCCAAATTTTATAAGGATCGGTCGACTATATCCTAAAGCTGCCAATTAACTGAACGATCGGAATTGGCCCAACTTTTGTGTTTTTGAAGATAGAAAGCTGGAATTTGTTACAGATTATATTTTTGGTCAGTTAATCCGACCTACCAAATTTTATAACGACCGGCAGCCTATATCTTATAGCTGCCATATAACTGAACGATCGGAAATGGTTTTTCGTAGAAATACCAACTTTGGTATTTTTGAAGATAGAAGTTTTGGACTTTTTTTTAGATTTTATATTATAATAAATTGGGTTATATTATTATATACTCATAAGGATCGGCCAACTATATCCGATGTTTGCGATATATATTCGGCTTTAACTGCAAGGGTATATCAACTTCGGGTCCGCCCGAAGTTAGCTTTCTTTTCTTGTTTTCTCCCCTTTGGGGTGAATTAAGTACAGGGTACCGACGGCATACCCGGCTGCGTAAAAAATAAATTAAAAAAAAAAACAATTATAACTTTATATATTTATAATTATAACTACTACAATTTATTTAATTATTATTTTCCATTCGAGCGAAAGGCCAGTTTTTTAATTCACCTTTCCGGCCACTTAATAATTAAAGTCGAAAATCATTAATAATTTAATTATCAACCTTCTGTCCGAATAGAGTCGCGGTTTAAAATACACCTTCCCGGCTTCGTGATAATTAAATAAAATTAATTAAAGATTAAGGTTTCAACTCCACCTTTCCGGCTCCACAATATTTAAATCCGACAATTAGTCAAAAATTATTTATTAATTTTTTTTTTATTTTTGTTAAATCCAAGCAAAAGTCAAGTCCACCTTTCCGGCTCCAAAAAATAGTTAAGAATTAAATATCTACGTACGAACCACACTTGTATAAATATACATATATAGACCGTCATCAATTTTTTTCCGAACGAGCACGAATTTTCCGGTACTTGTACATTTTCCGTGCCTCTAACGCAGCTTCTACTCCGCGCCAGGCAACATCCGCCTACAATCTCAACAAACCTTTTCCACATTCGAATTGTGCCGCACACGATTTTCCTTTCGACGTCGGGCACTAGTTCCCACTTGTTCCTTGTAATCGCATTTCATCCACAATCTCACCGTACGCATCACATTAGTGTGACCGGCCACCGCTTTGTACAGTCGACAAGCGTTGACCAGCAAATTGGATTCTGGGAATGCCCACGGGAGACGACAAAAAGCCGCGTTCGATTTCAGCCATCCGTTTGGACAGATCTCAATCCGCATCTCCGCGGACGCGGAGGCAAACAATGCCATTCCAAGGGCAAAGAGTGACGAATCCGTCAGCACAATCCCCGGTACTTCACAGAGGCAGACTCGCTCCGTTGCGGAAATGGCTCAAAGTGCGGTCGAAGTGGCGCTGAAAAAGTTCATCGCCACAACAGATCGAATTAGCCAATTTGAGGCTAACGTAAATACTACGGGCACCCCAGAAACGGAAATAAGCTCCCAATACATGTGCGAAGTCCATCGGGACCAAATTCGGGCACTGTGGGAGAAGGTGGAAATGAGCCATGGGAGCTGCTCCGATTTGCTAGCCGTGTCCGACGACAATGCGGCCGCCTCGACAGTGCTTGAATCCAAGTACAGCTACTGTTACTTCGTCTATTCGAGGTGTATTGCCCAGCTTCGGGAGAAGATTGCCTCCCGATCCACTCAGGCTTCTGTCAGTGTCTACACGCCCGCGTCTACAGGCTGCCGCTTACCGCCAGTGGATACCGAGGTCTTTGCGGGTGATTATCATCGGTGGCCCACCTTCAGAGACTTGATTACGGCCATTTACATCCAAAACTCGCGGCTCACCCCGGTAGAGAAGTTGTTCCACACGCCATTGTTTCTAAGGCTCCGCTTACCCATGAGGGGTTTGTCGCAGCGTGGCAAAGCCTCACAGACCGCTTTGAGAACCGGCGGCTATTGGTCAATAGCCAGTTGAAGATCCTTTTCAACATCCAGGCTATTTCTCAAGAGTCCGTTCATAGAGAGTGGGAGCAATCCGTACATAATAAGGCCGAAATTCCAACATGGAAGGAATAGATTAACTTCCTGACAGACCGCCATCGCACTCTGGAGGTCATCGACGACGTTAGGCCTAGTGGCTCCGGGCACAAGACTCGAGTGGTTCCAGGCCAAGAGGGCTGCGATCTTTGTTCCAGGGAGAACCACCCCATTCGCTTATGTCCGCGTTTCCTAGAAATCGACGTAAATGGGCGCTCTGACTACATTAAGAGGAAGCAGTTATGTTTAACTGTCTTGCCCGAGGGCACCGACAGCGAGCCTGCACGAGCGCCCATACCTGCTTCACATGCCACAGCCGACACCACACCCTCCTGCACCGCGGCAATCCGTTCGCTACCGCTCCAAATCCGCCTACGCCAGCCAGGGCTCGACCCGCACAGACTGCCAGAAGCACAAACGGCTCAGAGATCAGTCGGATGTACAGGTGTGTTTCGCTTCCGGGTTAGTAGCCGTCCTACTGGGCACGGCCCTTATCAACGTGTGCCATTTGGGGTGCAGCTTCCAGGCACGAGCACTGATAGACTCAGGGTTCGAAGCGACTTTCATAACGGAACGACTGTTCAACCTTGTCAAGCTTTCTTTCAAGACGGTTCAAGCCATTTCCGTGCAGTCTACTAAATTGTGCCATTTCTCCATTTCTCTCGATGTGTTAATAGGAGCTGACATTCTTCCGTCCATTCTCGTCGGTAATTCCAAGGCTAACATCTACGGGTCGCTTCTGGGTCAGGAAACCATTTTTGGATGGGTGCTGACAGGCCCATTATCTCCAGCCAACCCCCGCAGCGTGTCTGTTTTTTCCACACGAGTTGCCCGCAGCCTCGGTGACTCACTGGATCAGCTCCTCACCAAATTCTGGGAGGTGGAAGATGTGCCCACACAGATCAGTTCAGAATCGGATTCAGTTTGCGATCGCGCTGCAAGGTGGCAATCAGCTGATGATCCGTCTGATCCGGGCCAAATTCTGGGTTCCAAGGTCATATTCAGCAAGGTCATATTCAGCACATATTCCAAGGTCATATTCAGATGTACTCGAGGTACCCAGTCCTACCAATGCTGAGTCTGCAGTGGGATCCATCCGTTGAAGAAGTGTCGGCGCTTTCTACGTCTCAGTGCCGAGAAGCGGCCCCGGGCGGTTCTCGTGAACCGGTATTGCTCCAGCTGCCTAGCCCACGAGCACTTCGACGGATCGTGTCGGCGTGGGGACTGCTGTAAGTCGTGTGGTCAGGATCACCACTCACTGCTGCACCTCGTAGAGAAGCCGTGGGCTCTGCGCCAGCCACGTCAAGAGGAGCACCGGTCACGGAGCGCGGGAGACAGTACACGGAGTGTCTCAGCTGGCGCTCGACCGTCGTCCGCCAACTCCTGGCGCGGTTCGGTTGCTCCACGGCCTTCGTTCGCCACTCATCGGGTGCCGTCCACCGCTCGTCCGCCCACGTCATCCGCGCCTAGGCAATTTTCCGCCTCTCGTCAAAGCCCCCGCCGGACGCGGCCGCTGCGCCCACCCTGTCGTCGCTGCTGTAGCGGGACAGCGTCAACGTGTTGCCGACTGCGCTAGTGCGCATTGACACCGGGACCTGGATCTTCGACACGGTGGCCCTTATCGACCCGTGTACGCCATCGAGCTGCATTGACGCATCGCTAGCGGCGTGTTTCCGGCTGCCCACTACCAGCGTGTGGACAAACAAGTTTGTAAGCGTTCGATGATAGCGTTCGGCAGGAGGTCGTCTTCAAGATCGAGATTGTACGCCGTCTCGAGAGCTGAGCGAGGCGGTGCGAGCCGACTTCCGAGGCGTGACATTGGCGGATGAGCGGTTCTATCTCCCAGCGACGATCTCCGTTGTCCTGGGGGGCGGGATGTTTAGGTGAGGGGCCGTTGTGCCGCCGATCATCTGAGCTTTAGAGCGCATCCGCGCTCGCCCCTCTATGCACGATCTTGCACTCTATCACTCTCGGGTCCAAATGCAGCGGTCGGCCGTCGTCGATCGTCCGCTCTGGCTGTAGCGGTTTTTCCCTAAGTTAAGTTAATTGCATGTATGCAGAATAAAGCTGACGTGAATGCGCCCTTGAATTTTCACCCACGACGCCCCCGACTTCTTCTTTCGAGCCTCCGGGTTAATTTTGGATCGCGACGTGGGATTTGTTCCGCTCTGCCTTCTACAACAACCTCTGAAATCTTTTTGTTTTTTAGTTTTTTCGTATTCTTACGTTGTTTAGAAGAATCGTTGTTGTTGTTGTCATCGTCTTGATATCAACTATCATTATCTGATGTTTGAGGAGACTCGGTTTTCGAGGATTTTTTCTCGATCGGCTGCTGGTCATCATCTACGCAATCCTCCTTCTTCCTTTTCAGCTGCACGACGAATCTATCCATCTATTTGTCGTCTCTCAAGTCGCTTTGTAAAGCACTCCCACTTGTTTCGTTCTTTCGCTTTCAATCTCTTAAAGCACATACGAGCGAGAATGAAACGAATATAAACATATGGTTATTCACAGCCGTCGTTGGCATGAATGTGTGTTGT